TTTCTTAAACCAGTTCCCCTGAATCCACTCCTAGTTCTGCTACCTTATCCAGATAGCAACTTCCTTAGCCTTGACTTAAAACCCTTATGATTTTGGTCCTCTATAGCTCACTGCACTTACTTTTTAAAATTTTTTTTGTTGTTTTAAATTTTTAATATTGATTACATAGTTGAGAGTGATGCATACCCATATAGACCTCTGAATACAGTGGGGAGGCTCAAGGTGTGGAGGAAGATGGATAAGATAAATGTTTCTGGGTTTTTTTCCCCCCCTCTTGTTTCTGCAGGAAGGAAAGGGTTTGGGGGCTACTCCTTGATGTTAAACTGTATCAGCACTTGAGGATGGAAAACAGTCATTTGATAATGCCTTAGAGACACTGATATGAGGAAGAATGTTGTGAGACTGTTACTTGAGTGATTTTGATCTTTCTGAGATGTTGTCAGCTTCATTAAGAAAAACTTTGCAAGATATTAGCTAACCAAATCACTTCAGTGCATCCACAGACCCAGACAATTCCTGCAAAGCTAAGCCAGGAGAGTTGTCCACCTATTCTGCTGTCCATCCTCTGAGAAGGCACTCAGTGTCCTCTGCTAGTGTAGATGAGCTGGCTGTCATGTTCCCTGTGTGCATCTGGGCATGCTGTCCATTGTATGTGCATCAGCACCTGGGAAGGCCCGGGCTCAATACATGCACTGTAAGACTGGACAAGATATATTGTGATTTTCCCGAGGACAGGATTTTAGTCCAATAGTCTAGCCAGGGTGTCCTCCTAGAAGCCCCACTTGAGATGTCTTCAGACTTCTGTGTGCACCAGTTAGTGTAAGGTCAGAATTGTTCTATGTCCCACACCAGCCAACACATATACCAGTGGATGTAGTTACTTGTTCAGTCTCACCCTCAGTCCCATCTCACACAAACTAGTGGTACTGCGGCCTACCCTGGGCAACCATGAAAAACCTCACCATGCCCACCCCCAAACCCAACCCTGACTCATGTAAACTGATGGGTGGTACATCTGGGCGAGCCCAGCCCATACCCTGTTGATGGGTGGTACATCTGGGCGAGCCCAGCCCATACCCTGTTTGACTATTACACATGCCCACCCCAAGCCACCTGTAGTCCCGGCTCTACTTGCAGGTGGTACTACCAAGCCCAGCCTGGCCTGTCCTCAACCTCAGGCTCCACACGAAGTGGCAGGTGCCGTGACACAATCAGGCCTGGCTCAAACCCTGTCCCAGCTGTTGCATGCCCCTAGACCCAGCCCACACACATGTTAACAGGTGCTGCAGCCTTGCCTAGCCTGGCCCACCCCCAGTCCCATCTCTTGCACTCACCAGTGGGAGCTGCGGCCAAGCAGCAGAGCATGCAATTATAATTAAATACTTAATTAGGCAGATGTTTGTCACAGATGCTAAGCTGATGCTTGGGACGTACCTGCTTCCATACAGGAGTGCCTGATTCAAGTCCTGGCTACTACATTTTCCATCCAGCTTCCTGTTAATACATACCCTGGTAGACAGTAGATGATGACTCTAGTACTTGGGTCCCTGCCAACCATAAGGGAGACCAGGATTCCAGACTCTTGGCTTCAGCATGGCCAGTTGAAGAGCAAATTGATGGATAGGTTTCTGTCACTCAGTTATTTTCATTCTTTCCATCTCCTTCCCTGCCTTGCCCCTTGTCTGCTAACTAAAAATGAAAGCGCATCCCATGCTTCACTGTCTCTCTTGCCTGTTATATTGTATAGCACCATGAAAGCAAGGACTATTTTGTCTTATAACATAGTCCTAAGCACATAGTGAATATTTAATAAATATTAGTTGAATCAATGAATGAAAAAGTGATAGCATTTATTTCCATTGCCATTGAAAAACTGTGGATAGCTCTATGAGACAGTTTTTCTGTGCTGCCTAGATTTTAGATATGAAGGCTCTCAGCAATCAGGAAGTTGTGGAAATGTAAAATGACTACACTAATATTTTACTAACACATGAAAACCAGAAAACTAGAATAAAGAAGGCAAAAGTATAATAGATGGTTAGTGTAAAATAGATCCTCCTGCAAATCATAAAACTTAGTCAGTTTAGCTGTAGCATATCATGATCCAGTGCCAGTTTATATTTGTTATTTTTGTTTATTTTTGTTCTACTTCTAAAAATTACTCAAGTGACACATTTTGGACACAGTATAATGTAGAGATATGTTCTAACTCATATCAAAATCTAGTTTTGTTACTTATTACCTTTATGATATCAAACAAGCAATGTAAACCATCTAAACTTGAGAATTCTCATCTTAAAATGGAAGTAATAGAATATATAGAAATGTAGAAATTAAATGAGATAATGACTATAACATGCTTAATCATAAGACCTTGGTAACATCTGTATTTCCATTCCCCTCTACTCTAATAATTTATCAGGATTTTGCTAATTTACTCATCTAATAATTTACCATCATTTACTTTGCATATACTTTCTTCCATAAAATGTATCTCCACAAACACTTTTCATTTCCTGCCATTACCTTCTCACTACGCCCCATCTTTTAAAAAGATTTATTTATTTTCATTGGAAAGGCAGATCAGATTTATGGAGGGAAGGAGATACAGAGAAAGATCTTCCATCCACTGCTTCTCTCCCCAAGTGGCCGCAAAGGTCAGAGCTGAGCCAATCTGAAGCCAGGAACCAGAAGCTTTTTCTTGGTCTCCCACACAGGTACAGGGTCCCAAAGCTTTGGGCTGTCCTCAACTGCTTTCCCAGGCCAAGGCAGCAGGAAAATAGATGGGAAGTGAAGCAGCTGGGACAGAAAGCAGCGCCCATGTGGGATCCCAGCCCTTACCATCTGAGAATTAGCCATTGCACCAGGCCTACCCAATTTGTTTTTAATCATGTTCATCATTTCCTTTATTTTTTAGACTGTGTCTTGTTTATTGTTGTATCCTCAGCTTCTAACACATTGCCTGGCACATAAAGATGTATTATTAAAGAATTAATTATGCAGCCAGTAACAGATAAACTCAATAGAATTGATTTGAAGTTTAGAAATAACCTGTTAGTAACACCCAGACTGCTTTCCAGCATGCAGTTTAATACATAATGTCTTTCGGGAAAAGAAAGGGTTTGTCCATGTATGTAATCACATGGAGACAGTCGTAACCCAAATCTGTCTCCCCAGTTGGAAACCCAGGGAAATTTTTATGGATTGGTTAGGAAAGACTTGCGTGCAGAAACACTGACAAGGCAAGTTCTGATTGGAGGGGCTTGGAATCAGGTCATTATGGTAAAGTACGATGGGATCCCAGACCAAATTTTTTGTTTAATGGACTCTTTGTGTTTAAGTTCTGGTTATGCTCCCCGTTTCTTTGGTTCCACAGGTTAGGGTTTTCCTTCTACACATGCCCAGTTCCCTCTGACCTACAACCCTCCTAACCAGACCTTTATAGCCTGAAGTTATTGTTAAACCATAGGCTAGAATGGCATTTTGCCTAGAGGTCGAGATGCTCACATCCATCCAAATACCTGGGATCAATACCGGACTCCAGCTTCCTGCAGATGCAGATCCTGGGAGATAGTCGTGGTGGGTCAAACAGCTGGATTCCTGCTACCCACATGGGAGATCTGGATTGAGTTCCTGATGACTAGCCCTGGCATTAAGTGGTCCAGGGAATGGGAGTGCACACTTTCTCTCCCTCCTTCCCTCTCTGTTTTTGCTGCTGGTCAAATAATGAAGAAAAAAATTTTTTTGACAAAAGCTTAGCATGGAAATGAATGAAGGCACAGCAGGAGACATCTGAGTTTCAAGGATGTCAAGAGGAAACTCAGTTATGGAACTATTCAGTTTCATTATTATTGCTACTAAGTTTTTTAGGGCATAGATTACCCAGATTAGTGAGTAATTTGCTTGGTTGCTTTTACTTCTCTTTATGTATGTTAATATGCATATCATTATCCATTTAAAGTGTGTCAAACGAAAAAAATTAAGGCTTTATTTTCAATAGTGGAAGTATTCTAATGGGATTAGGCAATGTAATAGTGGGCTAATTAAGCCACCACTAGGGAAACCTTGCATCCCATCTCTGTGATGGTCCAACTCCATGAGTGCCTGCCAGCTATATGAGAGTCCGGGATGAAGCTTCTGGTCCTGGCCATTACCGTCTGCCCAGTATCAATTTCTGCAAGTGTTTGGGGGAATGAACTAATGCATGAAAGACAATCTCTCTATTTCTCTGTGTTCTTCCCTCCCACTTTCTCGCTTTATTTCCCATTTTATACAAATTTAAAAAGTATTCTAATGAGCTGAGCTGAACAAGTTGGTTTTGTAGACAGAAAAGCCCAAAGAAAGCATAAACAAAAAGCAATAGAAAAATAACTGAGGTTTTTTCAGTTTACTTTTTGTGTGAGAATTAACTCAGAAAACCTTCATTGTCATGCAAATTGAAACAATCCCCTTTGGAAAATTTGGCTATTATCTCTCTAATCTTGATTTCTGAGAAGGTCAGATAAACAGAGCAGTTTTAGTTTGGTAAGGAATAGTTATATTTTTATTTTTATTTTTAGCCTTGTCTGTGGGGGCTCACTGCAGCACTTTAGTTCACATAGATGGTCTGCTGTAGTGTTTACTTAACCAGTGCTATAGGAAGAAGGAAAGTACAAAACAATTCCGAAAAAGACCTACAGATTGTAGATGGCATTCTTTCATGAAAGCATGATATCCTAGTTTGTATTACAATGATATGAGCAGCACAGTTATAAAGCTACAGGCCAGGAATGGGGAGTCAGATATCCCGTAGAGGTGTGTGCATTAAGACAGATGGGTGGATAAGTTTGTTCATAAACAGTGAACCGTACGTTCTCAGGGTGATTAAATGATAATAATCACATTAAAAATAGCCAAATAAGGTGGCAGTCTCAGTCATTCTGATATTTTATTGTGATCTGTATAATAGTTTCAGTTCAGTGATATTCAAGCCTGGTATCTGTCTTTTTTTTTTTTTATAGTTGTTGGATGAGCTTCCAATGATTTATAGCTGTTGCATATTTGTGTACTGCATGTAAGTACTTATGTTTAAAATTCAGTTGCTTAATGTGTTTTAAATCTCATGTTTGTCTTATAATGAATTACTATAACAACCCAGTTACATTGCTAGAAAAGTATAATCATGTAGATTATAAATTTTATCCTGTTAAAGCAGAATGTAAATTGTGGGGAGTCATAATAATGCTGTTGTGATCTCAAAAGCCTGTCACCAATCTAGATAGCATCTTAATTTGACTTACATTGCATAATTTGTGTTTGGTCTCCCCTGTTTTGGGAGGCCCCATTATGTGGATAGGACCCCAAGTTGGATGCTTTATACATTCAATATGGCAAAGCCAATGCTGAAGTCAGAGCTGAACCCCAGAAGCAAAAGCTTTATTTGGTGGCAAAGGAATGGACAAGTGGGAGCCTAACTCACAAATCATCATCTCCACTGCTGGAAGCTGAGGAGTCCTAGATGCAGAGCAACAGGAATGAGGGGAGGAACATGCAATAAATTGGAAGAATGTTAATGAATTTTCTGAGAAAGATGCATAATTCTTGGAACCAGGAGCTATTTATGTCTCATTTTATGGTCTCTTCTTGTGTATCATAGTGATTATCAACTGTCATGGCACTAGTAGGAGTGTTATTTAGAAAAAAAGAGCTAGTTTATAAGGAAATTTGGTCTTCTGAAGGTTACTCAGGCAGCCATATTGCCTCTCTGGTTCTACTGGTGTAATTCCATTGGAAACTATTATCTGCAAAGTATCCTAGTCTCAAAGAGAAATTGTTGTGATAGGTTGTCAGACATTGTCCTTGATAATAAACCCGCTTTTCTTATTTTCATTCTTAATATGTTTTTCATTCCTCCTTCTTGAGAAATACTGGGGGACACAGGTTATCTTCCATAACTTCTTCAAGCTGAACTTGAGAACTGGCAAGAGACCTAGGAGAGGATTCAAAGTTCTCTCTAACTAACCCTCAGTAAGTCTGAATATCATCTGGCTGAAGACTTAGCTGTTCATACTCCTAAATAATAAATTTTATAGCCTTCACTTGTTTGGACATGGATGAGACATTTTAAGAGATAAACTCCAAAATCAAGAGAAATAAGACAGCAAAAGGCCTAGGAAGAGCAAATGACTGATATGCCTCACTGGCATACCATATTTTCCTTCATACAATTGTCCTTTTCTTGGCTAGCTCTATTTTCCTTCTTAATCTGTATAACCTAGGTACAAGTAAGGTATTTTAACCCCCAACTGGTATCTGCCACTCTTTAAATCATCCCTTTACATCTATGGGAAGCCTTTACTTTTTTTCCCATTCTTTTATTCCTTGTTCCTTTGCCCTGGAGAGTCATGCTGCTTTATCTTCTGTGCCCCTCTCTTTGCAGTTTATTTGGCCACTAAATCTTCTCTGTTGTTTCCCTTCCTTGTTTCAATGCACCCCTTTTTGGTGTACTTACCAGTGAATTACAGCCATTTTTAGGCTTTTTGATAACTTCCAAAAGATGAAAGGTTTTGAAACTATTTTTGACCCATTTATTTTCAGAGGTTAACATATGGCTCCATGTGCTTGTAGGATGGAATGTGAATGTCTAGAATCAATAGCATTTTAAAGGCTACTTGTTCACCCAACTCCAGTGTCCTGAGCAGAGCAGTTAACTCAGTTTTTTTGTGTTGATGAAAGTGCTCCAGCTTCAGCAGTTCACTTAGGAGAACTATCTTGTATTTCCCCTATTTTCCTTCTTATCTGTAACTATTGAACTTCAGGCTTTGATATTTGCTTTTGAGTTCTGGTCTACTGCAACATATCTCTTTTAGTATTTCTAGACAGCTTTGGGACACTTAGCCATCATTAGCAGGAAGACGAATTGTAAAATTTAGGATGTGGTGGTACACTCTGAAAGGTATACTGGGGTTATAAATATTACTTATAGTTGAAGAGGTCTGCCAGTGACAGCTACTCCTCCTTCCATTTCTGTTTTCAGAGACAGGGTATGATGAGCATCCAAATAGTTAGGAGCGGCCAAAAACTTAGTTTTTCCACATCTTTTAAAAGAAGGGCAATAACTGCCAATGAGCAGAGGCAGGGTAGCCATTCAGTAGATATTCATTCAGAGAAATGAGCTACTACTTGTGTAAGCAAACTAGCTTTGAAGTTAGCATTCCAAGGGCCACACTGTTCTCTTATGGTGCAAACATAGAAGAGTTTCTTCAAGTGAAGCAGACCAAGTGTTGGGGTGCTTATGAGCTGAACATTAAGCTCACTGATGTCTTAGAATGCCCAGTTACTTTCTGAATTCCATCCAAATGGAACCCTTTCCTTTTACCTGTTCACACAGAAGTCAAGTCATGGGTAATTTAGAGATCTACTTCCAACAAAATCCAGCCATTCCCAGCAAGCCTCAGAATTTGAAACTGATATATCATTTCTTTGTTTCCTTTTTTCAAAAGAAGGCTTACATTTCTTATCTGTCCACAGGAAATTTGAGCTTTCTTGTGTGAGACTTTGTAGCCTCTTTCAGCTAGGAGATTAGGAACTGCCCTTGTGTTCTAAACTGGTAATGCCCTGGTGGGACTGACAATGTGGATCTACATGTTGAAGTAGAGTCCCTCATTCAACAGCAAAGATCTCTTCTAGGGCTTCCCCAAATGTGGTACCTGGATTTTGTGGAATGCTTGGGGAAAGACTGTCCACGAAATTGGATATGTAAGGGAACTCTGAAAATTGTGCCATTGGAAAGCAAAGAGGTATGGGGATTTTGAAGTTAAAGACATATAGAAGAAAGTATCTTTTAACTCCAGGAAAGAGTACTATATCCTGTCTGGCAGAAGGGTAGAGAGTAAGGGGTTTGGATTAGGGGCCACCTATCCTCTGTGGCCTCCCTCGTTTATCACCCTCAGGACTTATACCAAAGGAAGCTTACCAGTGGGTTTTCTTTACAGGAAAGATGTATTACAAAGGAGTTATCACAACTGAAGCAACTCCTGTTTTAACAATTCATCAATGGCAGGTGTGATTCTTATTAAGTTCTTCTGCTTAAAAGGAATATTGTTTTTATTGAGACAAATATGTCTTTGTTTTTACTTAACTTGGAGAAGGCTGTTCTGACTCTCCTCACCTTGTCTTTTGTCCAGATCTGGGAATGGTCCCTTGGTAAATTTACTGGTGAATGAATTTTTCCAGGACTGAGGTATGGAAGTCTTGAACCAAGAGAGGATCTTTTCTTCAGTTTTAAAGTTTTTAATTTTATGAATTTTATCTGCTAGATACATAGTTATTCCTAATGTATAGAAAAGATCTCACCTTAATAGGGGTATCAGGAACTCAGACATTTTTAAAGTATGGGCCAATACCTGTCCATCTAGGTCATACTCTGAGTGCACTAAGAAAGACCTGTTATTACTGACTTTCCTTCCATTCCCATAGTGGCACAGTTGTCTTGGGTTATACCATTCTTCTGACTGTTTCAAGACTGAGTAGAAGACCCATGTGGACTTAAAGATCAACTTCTCCCCCTCTGTGCTCTGCTCCCATGTGGTCAGTGGTAACTTTAAAGGACTTGTAAGGAACCTCTTGGCCCCTTCAGTCTTCTCTTTCTGGTAATTGTGCCATCTACCAGGGTGGGTCAGACCCTTATGTGCCATCTGGCTGCCTCTGAAAGTGTGGGAGATATTCTCCTTTCCAGTGACCCTCTTCCTTTTAGTGTATAAACTTGTTGTTCCCTGGTCTTCTGGTATTTCCTGGATCCTCCTAATCTGGAATTTGAGTGACCTGGAGTTTCAGGACCTCTATTGGAGGGACCCTGTTGTTCCCTGGGCCCAGGCTAACCTGAAGAGTGAAGGCCAACGGATTGACCATTTTCTTGTGCTTTCATCTTTTCCTCAATCTCTGGATCTCACTTATTGAAAACCCAAGAAGTCAGTTCCACCAGCCTGTAACTGTGACTTCTGTAGCTTCCTCTGAATAGGAAGGGCATTTTGAGGTGTAAAATGGGATCAGAGGATCATCAAACCCTTAGTTCAATCAGGGTCTTTATAAAATGCAAAAATGCTCAGAGCCTTGCTGTGAAGGTGGAGGAAATGAGATTAGCCAGGAAAGATTATAATAGAATGCAAAAGGCAGACTGATCATAGTAAAGAAAAAGCTTTTTGTATGTAGGAAAATTCAAAGAAAAAATGTATGTAAGTTAAGAAAACAGGTTGGGCCCGGCGAGATGGCGCAAGTGGTTAAGGTCCTTGCCTTGCACGCCCGGGATCCCATATGGGCGCCGGTTCTAATCCCAGCAGCCCCGCTTCCCATCCGGCTCCCTGCCTGTGGCCCAGGAAAGCAGTGGAGGACGGCCCAAGGCTTTGGGACCCTGCACCCACATGGGAGACCCAGAAGAGGCTCCTGGCTTCAGATTGGCTCAGCTCCAGCCGTTGCGGCCGCCTGGGGAGTGAATCATCAGACGGAAGATCTTCCTCTCTGTCTCTCCTCTCTGTATATCCACCTTTCCAATAAAAAATAAATAAATAAAAAATACAAAAAAAAAAAAAGAAAACAAGTCATGGGAGCTATTAAATGAAACAGCAGAGGAGTGCATTTTTAGAGAAGCACTTACCCTCCTTAGGAAACACAAGAGAGTAAAAAATGAAATTTCAGAATAAAAGGCAAGGGGTAGAATCAGGACAGACAAGAAGACTGTGATACGGGTGTCCACTAAAGCATAGAATGTGCACATAAAATAAACAACCAGCCATCCTACATAATGCTCCATAGCCCAGGTAATGGATGTGAGTGTCATGGTCACTCTGCCAACTCTTAATGGTTCCAGGATGGAATCCCTAGTACAGATGGCACCAGTGAGCCTCCTCTGCCCCTTTCTAGGATTTTAAAAACCCAGGCTCCACACTTGGGATGCGACTGATCACCTTGTGCCAGATGTCTGCATGGCCCTGGTTTTGGACAGATGTCTTCAATCTGCTTATCCCTGGGGGTTCTTTCCTCACCACTTTCTCTTGGAGCCACCCCAAATCTGATCCT